GAAGATAACGGCTCTTTAAAGATGTATTTAGGGGAAATGAAAGAACTTAGGAAACCGGAGGACAATCAGGATGTTTGGGACTTTAGAAGTCTGAGGGAAAGAGATGGTAGAGGGAAGAGCTCAGCAGCTGTTAGGCACATAGTGACTGAAGGACCTATCAGGTGTTAGGGTACTGAATTAAAGAGCCTACATATGATACATTTCTTCTGGTGTTCTTCACAGCAGCTGATAGTGTTAGAAACAACAAAAAAGGGGATGTTAAATGGCCGTGTAGCGGCACGCACTTAGGTCGGGGCATAAAGTAAAGGGAATTGCTGGACCTGAAATGCTTGTATGACATTGGGACTCTGGAACACCGTGCAAAGTGCCACAGAAACAGTGAGTGTTGAATGCGTTTTGACCCCCTTGTAAAATGGCAGGTGGACATGTTGAGTTTAGCCAGAGTTCTGGATACAAATAAAGAATTACAGCTGAGAATTTGTAACCACAGGCCTGTTCTCGTGTGGTTTGTGGTTGGCATATATATTGCCTATTTGAGCTGGTAAACCAAAAACCTGTAAGCCAATTAATATTTAAGCATAGTTCTTGAAGTTCCAGATCCAAAAATAATGGAATCCTTTTTGTCAAACTATGGATAAAATACTTGTCTAACCACAACTGTTAGAGCTCCTGAGCAATGAACAGCAGTGGGCTCAAGCTAAGGGAAAGATGATTGATTGACCATTGAAAGGAAAAAAAAAAGGCATTTGCCCTGCCCTCTGGCAATGCAATATTATGAAAATATCTCTCACTTTCTAAGAGACTGGAAATTTGGCTAGACCTCACGGCCAGGGTTAATACACCTTAGGATCACTTAAAACTTAAGACTGCTATCCTACTATGTACCCAGCCTGTCTGTTTAACTTGACTTTAAGAGAACAATCTAATAATTAATCTCATTTCCTTGGATTTCCCATGTAATCACATTTCATCAACAACCTAAGTTAATGCATAGCTGGTCTTAAGCTGTGAACTCTTCTATGGCTCTGACCCAGATGATGTGTGTGTGTGTCACTTGCTGGATGCAGCAAATACAGAAGTAGAAAACAACTTGCTAAAATCTAACCATAAATGTTGACAGCAAACAGATATGGATATTGACTGATAAACAATGATGCTCGTTATCTGGGTCAGCTGGGATCAGTTGGAGCCAGTGACTTGTAAAAACTCTATTAAAGATTTCTGTAAAGTATCCCAACCCTTCCCCATGTGGTACCTTTTCTTCTGGTCAATAAAGACAGAGCAAAGTTTATTGTTAGGAAAAAAACACACAGACGCAACAGACACACGGACACTGACAGGGACAGGCTCACCAGACAGCTCTCAGGAAGGCACAGATTCAGACTCATACAACAGTCAGACGACAGAAAATATAGGGAGCATGAAGTAGAACATTCAAAACTGAACTCGGTCTTGGTTAAACACCTCAAAGGGAAGTGCTTCTATTTCGTTTTTTAGTGCAACACCAATGCATTGTTGGTGACTCTGAGCTAATCACTAATGCGCATTATACACATGCCATCGTCTTCTGAAACCACTACAGCCGCGTCCTTTGGGAATAACTAGAACTCGAGCAGGATGACATCACTATCTTGTTAGTGTATTCTGTCACAGAAGGGGATCGTGGCTAGCAGAGAAGCTAGAAATGGAAGAGAAATGTCCTAAAACAGAGGCAGGCAGAGGAAAGGGCTCAAAAATCTTAAACACCTACTCATATTTTCTTAGTCAAGCAAAGAACTCTACAGTGACTGCAAAGAGCCCGTAAGAAAGCAGGGACACTGTTAAAAGACTAAAGGAACTTTGGAAGTTGGGTTGAATTTTACATTATGAAATGAACGTGAGACTTAGGGACCAAGGTTGAAAGGCTGTGACCTAGAGCACTGTGTTTTGTTGTCAAATTGTAAAGGTGAGAAAGGAGTTTTGATAGTTAAATTCAGTTGTCAAACCTGATGCCGTCTATGATGACCTTGAAGATGGACTTCTGGGAATGACTATGAGGGATTATTTTGGTTAAGGTAATAGAGATCTAAGGACCAACCCACTGTGATTGGTACCATTCCTTGCATTCTCTGGGCTGGGATCCTGGGCTATATACAAAGGAGACAACTGAGGACAAGTATTCATTGCTATCTGTCTCCTACCTACCTCCCGTCCTTCCTTTTTCTTTTTTTGTCTTTCTTTTTTTTCTTTCTGGAGTTGAGGACCAAACCCAGGACCTTGTGCTTGCTAGGCAAGCACTCTACCACAGAGCTAAATCCCCAACCCCAAGATTTATTTTTTATTTGTAAGGTAAAGAATGCTAGAGGAAGACACCCTCTGTGAACCTCAGCCCTCCTCCGTGCACACCTGTGCCTGCACGAAGACTTTACACACCAACACGTCCATACACATAAACAGAAACCATATGGTGTGGCACTATAGCTGAGGGGACGTGAGCAAACATCTTCTCACTCCAGATGGGAACTGATGACAGCCCAAAGTAAGGGCACCACTAAAGTCCAACTCAGTGAACCTGCATCACAGGAGGACGGCCCTAGCATGAGTGACGGTTTGTGAAGGCGAGAGCCCTGAGGCTCTCTGCACAGCTCACAGACAGAGACCCAGGTCAGAGAGATCTCTTGTCAGCAGCCCTCACTGTTTAGTTTATATAAGTTGTTGTCCTACTTCATCAGCCTACGGGAACCTCAGCTGAAGAAATGCCTCCTTCAGATTGGCCAGTGGCTGTGTCTGCAAGAGATGGTCTTGATCAATGTGAGAGAGCTGAGTCCACTGTAGTCCATCCTTGGGCAGTTGACCCTGGGCTGTATCAGGAAGCAGTCTGAGCATGACCAAACAGCTAGCAAACAGATAATCTTTCTCCATGGTTCTTGTATTCAGATTCCTGCCCTGACTTCTGTCAATCATGGATTTTGTTATGAAAGTGTAAGCCATATAAACTTTTCCACCTCTGAATTGCTTTTGGCTAGAGTGCTTTATCACAGTAGCAAGAAGACTAGAACACTTGGAAAAGATGGGACCTGGTATGTGTACTCAGTTTCAGGAACACCCTGAGACTTGTGAGTTGTTTACTCCCTGACTCTTAAGGATTATTTCTTGTTTCAATTTGGAGAAATTATTATGTAACAGTCTGGACGAGAGACAGTTTACAATAAGCAACAGCCAGTATCTTTAACATCAAGAGCTTTTATGTATAAATACACAGAAATACATTTGGAAGCTGTCATGAAAGTTCTCCTTCATTTCTTTTTTTAAAATATTTATTTATTTATTATGTATACAATATTCTATCTGTGTGTATGTCTACAGGCCAGAAGAGGGAACCAGACCTCATTACAGATGGTTGTGAGCCACCATGTGGTTGCTGGGAATTGAACTCAGGACCTTTGGAAGAGCAGGCGATGCTCTTAACCACTGAGCCATCTCTCCAGCCCCTCTCCTTCATTTCTTAAGACCAAAGAATATAAGTGTGTCTTATAAAAAAAAAAAAAAACGAAAAGGCCTGCTGAAAAGGCTCCCCGGTCCCAGTAAATTAACCAGAAATTGTTTGAACTTTGCAGACAGCTATCTATATTGTTCAAAGAGGTCTGGGGGTGGAGCTCAGTACAAGGACATCTGCCTAGAACCCCAGTGAAGGGGAAGCATGTTGGAAGCATGGCTGAATACTGAGGCATCTGCCTGGAATCCCCCGTGCGGAACCAAGGATGTGGCTCAGTTGGTAGAGTACTTGCCTAGCATGCATGAAGCCCTAGGTTTGATCCTCAGCACCACATAAATCAGGTGTGATGGTGCAGGACTGTAATCCCAGCACTCAGGAAATGTTGAAGGTCATCCTTAGCTACATATCAGGTTCAAAGCCAACCTAGGCTATATGAGACCCTATCTCAAAAAAAAAAAATTAAAAAAAAAGAAGCCGGGCGGTGGTGGCGCACGCCTTTAATCCCAGCACTCGGGAGGCAGAGGCAGGTGGATCTCTGTGAGTTCGAGATCAGTCTGGTCTAGAAGAGCTAGTTCCAGGACAGGAACCAAAAAGCTACGGAGAAACCCTGTCTCGAGAATCAAAAAAAATAAAAAAATAACCAAAGGCAAAACCCAAGGATTTGTGGAGGAGAGTTGGTGGACACAGCATACCATGGGTGTTAAAATCCTGAAAACCTTGGGAAAGGGTGGGGATCTGTTCAATGTACAATATATATCTCTATGACATTTTTTAAATAAAATTGCTTAAAGATCTTCAAAACAAACTAACACAAAAAGGCACTGGCAACATCAAGGAGCCCACAGACGAGTTGAGAAAATTAGAATTGAGACAGAGAAAATCCAATAATTTCTAAGTCATGGGATGAGATAAGACTGAGGAGGTTGGGGTTGGCGAGATGGCTCAGCAGCTGAAGGTGCTTGCAGCCAAGCCTGGCGACCTGAGTTTAATCCTTCGTCCTCCAACCACATTACCCCACCCCTTCCTGACACATAGTAAACAACTAAACATAAGACAACAATTTAAAAAATGGAGTAAGTCCAGCTCTCACCTTTGGGGAATTTATAATTAATATGGGCATTTATGTTAAAGAGACTGTAAGACAGGAGGAGCCCTTGTCCCTGGGCAGGATGCAAGTCAGGGAGGGCTTCTGGGAGGAGGCACCCAGGGGCAAGGCTTTTTCACTTGCTCTGCCTGCATGGAATTAGCTACCCAGATTTAAACGTGGATCTTCTCTCCATTATTCAGATTTTGGCTCAGTCATAACGTTTTTCTCAAGGTGCTAGCCGGGCTGCCCTAGGCTGCCCCACCTTGTGTGTATGGGGGGTTAGCCTACAGTCAAGGTTGGATATCCTCACCTGGAACTCACTATGTAGATCAGGATAGCCTGAAACTCACAGAGATCCACCTGCCTCTGCCCCCCAAACGTTATCATGCCCGCTTCACTCTATTTCTCGAGGCGGGTCTCTCACTGGAGCTTCTCGTTGGCCTAGACAGGCTGGGCAGAGGACCCCCCCCCCCCGGGAACCGTCTATGCCCTCAGTGCTGGGTTTACAGGCGTGCTGCCAGACCCAACTTTTGCGTAGGTGCTGGGGCCCTCCTTAGGGTCTATGAAACATCTCACCCTTGACATATTCCACAGCCTTCTGCTTCTTCCTATCTGTCTTCCTCTACAAAGTGCTGGTTCCTGGGGGCAAGAAATGGTTCAGGCCACTGCCACACCCAGCACCTGTAGATCAGGGCTTGGCACAAGCCAGTGCACAATGAATGTTCATTAAATGAAGAACAAAAACCATCGCGGAGCTCCTGGATCCAGCTGTGCCTGAAGCTGCACGATTGTGAAATGGCCTAGGAAATTCAAATTCCTCTCGCCTACACGGCCATCTCAGACATCACCTCATGGCTGGTGGATACCTTGCTCGCCACACTTTCCTCATCCTGTGGATCCTTCAGGGCCCAGTGGCATGCAGCCTGGAGTGACTGGCGGAGTTGTTTCCTCCCAAAATACAAAAACATTATGGGATTGAGAGCACTGTGAGCAAGGGCCAGGCCTGAAACCAGAGGCTCAGCCTCCAAGACCCGGGCAAGGAGCAAGGAGAACGGCGCAGCCACTGCAATTATGACCTTCAGGATGTGGTAAGGGGTCCAGCAGAAGAAAAAGCCAACCACAACAGCTGTGCCCAGTGGCCAGTGACGTCGGGTCAGTTTCCATTGGAGGATGCCGTGGCAACTGGCCATGAACACCAATGGCCCCAAGAAGCCAAAGAGGAATCGAACGGCGGTGATGGTGGCCTCTGTGGCGACAGAGCGCCCATAGTCTATGCCGCACAGAAGCCATGGAGGGAAATGCTCCTGATGCAGCCTACGGTAGACAGCAGAGGGCACCGTTAGCACCAGGGCCAGCATCCAGGAAGAGACCTGAGCCACCCGCACCCCAAGTGTCCGGTGATCAGCAGTCTTCCAGGAGGGCCTGAACGCCAGTAGGAAGATGTCAGCGCTGAGGGCAGTCAGGAGCAGCACACTGGCGTACATAGACAGGACGGTGACCGAGGGCAACAGCCAGCAGCCTGCTGACCCATATGGCCAGTGACCCTTCTGGGCGATGGGCACAGCCAGGAAGGGCAGAGACACACAGCAAAGCAAGTCAGCCACGGCCAGGTGCAGGAACCAAGAGGCCCCAAGCCTGTGGCGGGATTCTTTCCAGGTCACCCAAGCCACCAAGATGTTGCCTGGCACACCCATCAGGAAGATGGCTGCATACAGAAGAACCAAGACTATGAGGTAGACATCACTAGATAAGCATTCGCCATCTGGGCAGTCTACGGGAACGTCCGGAAGGTAGTGGTAAAGATCATAATCATATTCATAATCATATTGGTAGATGGTGGTATGGTTCATCATCCTGGCCCCAGATACCTGCAAGAGACAGACAGGCAACAAGTCAGTGGAAAAACTTCAAGAGCCTTGCTGTTCTGGGCCAGGCGGGCCCAGCGACACCATACTAGAGAGTCCAGTGCTGTGATGTTAGGGTGCCTGAACTCCAGGGTTCCTGCATTCTGTGATACTTATTATCAACTGGCAACCTGACAGATTCTGGAAGCATCTAGGAGATGGGGTCAGTCTTTGTTGTGCTAACTGATATGGGAAGACCCATGTTAATTGTGGAAAGGACCCACCTGGGATCCTGGACTGTATAAATGGAGAAAGGGGGCCAGAAAGATGGTTCAGCGAGAGAAGGTGCTGTCACCAAGCCTGATGACCTGAGTTCAGTCCCTGAGACCCACATGGTCTAACCTCCACATATATGTACACACACACACACACACACACACACACACACACACTAAAAATAGGGATTTTTAAATGAATGGGAAAAGTGTTCTGAAAAGTGGCATACATTCTTCCCAAGTGTTTCTTTTTTCTTTTGTTCTGTTTGAGACAGGGTTTCTCTGTGTAGCTCTGGCTGTTCTGGAACTAGCTCTGTAGACCAGGTTGGTCTCGAACTCACAGAGATCTACCTGACTCTGCCTCCCAAGTGCTGGAATTAAAGGCATGCACCTCCGGCACAGCCTAGCTCACTAGTGCTTCTTGACTGGTTTTGATGTGGTCAGCTACTTCAAGCTCCTGTTGCCTTGACTTTCCCTCCACAGCGGACCAGATATTGACACTGTGAGTCAGAATAAATACCTTCTCCTTTAAGTAGCCTTTGCACAGTATTTTATGTAGACCAGGATAGCCCCAAACTCACAGAACTCCACCTGTCTCTGCTTCCCAAGGACTGGGATAAACAAAAAATGTGCCACCACATCCAGCTGTGAATTATTTTATCACAGAAAAAAAACTATTAAGAGAGAAAGAATTATCTGATTAGCATGTAAGATTCCAGAATATGAGAACAGCAAACTGAGATTCCAGCAAGTAAGAGAACTAGAATTCCAGAAATGCTGAGACTTGTATACACCTTGAAATTCCAGTACATAACCTTTTATATACCACAAAGTGCTGGGATTGAAGCCAGGTCCCACACAGGTGCCAGGCAGGGGCTCTACCACTGAACCATACTCCAGCCCCTCACTGGGGGATTCTATGCAGAGCTCTACCACTGAGATACACCTCCGGCCCCTCACTGGGCATCTGATTGATGGAAACCTAAACAATTCCTTGAAATACTAGAATCCTAGCTCATGCCTGTCTTGGAAGGCTAAGGTGCAGTTTTAGAATCCCATGGCAGATTAGAACATTATAGATCCTGAATGCTAATGCCTTAGAACACCAAGCTCTTAGAATTCAAAAATTAAAACTCAGCAAGAAAAACAAAAGAAGAAGGAGAAGGAGAAGAAGAAGCAGAAGCAGCAGCAGCAGCAGCAGCAACTGGGCAATGGCAGTATGCGCCTTTAATCCCAGTACTTGGGAGGCAGAGGCAGGTGAATCTCAGCAAGTGCAAGGCCAACCTGGTCTACAAAATGAGTTCCAGCCATGGCTACACAGAGGAACCCTGTTTCAAAAAAGAAAGGAAGGAAGGAAGAAGGAAAAAAGAAAGAGCGAGCAAGGCGTGATAGTATGCTTATGGGCTCAGTGAATAAAGCCAGTAATAAATTCTTAGAAATAACAACAAAATCCATCTGGAGCAATTATTTCAATAATATTAACATTGGGAACACTTAGGAAGAACGGAATGTTGCATTCCCTGTGGTTTATTTATTCACAAACACAGCCCATGGGTACTTTCTGTTTTGCTTTGTTTTTGAAGGTTTTCATGTAGCTCAGGCTAGTTCCACATATGCTGGGTAGCCAAAGATGACTATGAACTCCTGGTCCTTCTGCTTCTAATTCCCTTCTGCTTCTAATTTTAAGGGTGCACTACCACACCCAGCTCCTGAGCATTTTTGTTGTTGTTCTGGGTGTCTGTCCAAGGACTGAGGCACAGGCCAACATCTGTCTCCTTGCAGCTGATATTCCAATGGGGAAAACCAAGGAGCCAGGACACAAACAAGAAATTTGCAGTATTTTCCAAGGGATAATAGTTGAATGAGGAGGACATATCAAGGCCAGGCTTGACTGTATGGTTACAGACTAGCCTGGGCTTCACGAGACCCTGCCTTAAAAAAAAAAAAAAAAAGTTGCTGTAGGGAGAAAACAATCCCAGAGAAGGAGGCTCCGGTGGACTTGCACACAGATGGTAAAGGAAGGCAGCATTTGCGCAGAAACTAAAAGGATTGAGGGAGATGATAAGGACATAGAATGAAATAAAGCATGACAGCTGTGTTCAAGGAATAGCAAGGTCGTGAGGCTGTCGGTGAGAAAGAAAAGGGAGAAGAGAGAACAAGTCAGTCACGATGGCATGCACCTGTAATCTCAGCACTCAGGATGCGAGGCAGGAGGATTGCCATGTGTTCCAAGCCGACTTACACAACGATTATTAGGCCAATTAGGGTTCACATAACAAAATGCTATATCGGTGGAGCACTGTTAGTCTTGCCTTTCTGTAGCTCTTGGGAGGTGCAGGCAATTCAAAGCCACCCTAGCCGACATTCTAATGAGACGCTGTGTTAAAGGGGGAGGAGCTGGAGAGACGGCTCCACGGTTAAGAGCATTTGTTGCTATTGTAGAGGAACCAGGTTCTGTAGCAGCTCACAACTGAACCATCTCTCCAGCTCCTATCCTAACCCCCCATTTTAATTTTGTTTTGTTTTGTTTTACAAGACAGGGTTTCTCTGTGGCTTTGGAGCCTGTCCTGGAACTTGCTCTTGTAGACCAGGCTGGTCTCGAACTCACAGAGATCTGCCTGCCTCTGCCTCCCAAGTGCTGGGATTAAAGGTATGCACCACCACCGCCGGGCGGTTTTTGTTGTTGTTGTTATCGTCGTTTGTTTGAGGTTTTTTTTAGATTTATTTATTTGATATGCATTCTAAGTGTGTATGTGCACCACATGCATGCCTGGTGTCCATGGAGGTCAAAAGAAGACATCGGATCCCCTAGACAGTTCCAGACAGTTGTGAGCCACCACGAGGTTTGCTGGGAACCAAACCTAGGGTCTTCTGCAAGAGCAGCAAGTGCTCTTAACTACGGCTCCTGCAGGGGGTGCTGGGCAGCTCACAGTTATCTGTAGCTCTAGTTCCAGGGGCTGACACCCTTCCCAGGACTCTGTGGGTACATGTACTCAGGTGCACAGACACGCACACACAAAAAAAAATTAAAAATCATATTAAAATTCAAAAACAGCAACAAAATGACCAGGTCCAACAATAATAGTTTAGCTCATCAGAAGGCCTCATTCACTGAGCATTTTGTGTATGTTCCAGGCATGACCCCAAACATCTTTCAACACTGTATCTCTGTCTGATATGGTCTTCTTAAACTGATCTACAGTTGACTGAGGCCCTAGGCCCAAGTCCCAAAATATTACTGTCTCCACATATGAAACTAGGCAGCCACAAACACGCTGAGGCCCTGAACCACCTATATGACTTCGGGTGGCAGCCATGACTGGCTCTGTCCATATCCTCCTCTGGGACCCACGTCACCAGTTTGGAAGGATCGCAGCATTAATGCAGAAACACAGATATAGCCAGGTGGTCATGGTGCACACCTTTAATCCCAGCGCTCAGGAGGCAGAGGCAGGAGGATCTTGGTGAGTTCAAGTCCAGTGTGGTCTACAGAGTGGGTTCCAGGACAGCCAGGGCTACACAGAGAAACCCTGTCTCAAAGAGCAAAAAGAAAAAAAAGAAAAAGAAACACAGAAATGTTACAGAGTGCATTGGGGAAGACAAGACCTAGTGGGAGGGGCCACTGAACCCCATTCAGAGTGGCCAGAACCTGAAGTGCCCAGTTCACTATTATGGGTTGTCTGGCACTGCCCAGAACCTCAACCAACACTGTCAAAACAGGAAAGACACAGCGGAAGTTGGGACACTTCCAGCTCGGCCAGGTACCCAGCCAGCTTATGAGGCCAAGCCATTTCTCTGAGTATTTTTCCATTCTTCAAAGCAAACTGTACCTGACTTTTAAAAACTCACCTGCCATCCAGCACTAGAGGCTGAGGCAGGAGGACTCAGGTTAACACACAGGTTAAGGCTAACCTGTGTGTGCTATATAAGGTCAGACCCTGTCTCAAAAAAAAAAAAAAAGTAAGCAATACAGAAACATAATAAAAGAACAAAACACTCAAAGGTTCAACCGCTCTGTGACCTTCAGCAGGTAGCCTAACCTCTCTGTGCTTCAGTCTGTAAAAGGGAATAATCAAATAACCCACCTTACAGAGCGCTGGGAGTATTCAATGTACTCAGTAGATCTGCTCTGGAGGAAATGACTGCCATAGTGCTGGTCCGCAGCAAGCATCAGGTGTGTGTCTGTCTGTGTGTCTATGTGTGTCTCTGTGTGTGTGTCTGTGTGTGTCTATCTGTGTGCCTGTTTGTGTGTGTGTCTGTGTGTGTATCTGTGTTTGTGTGTCTGTGTGTGTCCATGTTTGTGCGTGTGTCTGTGTCTCTGTGTGTATCTGTCTGCATGTGTGTGTCTGTCTGTTTTGTCTGTCTGTGTGTGTCTGCGTGTGTCTGTGCATGTGTATCCGTGTTTGTGCGTGTGTCTGTGTGTCTGTGTCTACGTGTATTAGCTCCTGTTATTGCGTATATACACAGCCTCTCTTCCCTTCTGTGGCTCCACCTTGCATGGCTATTACTGATAACATTCCAGGACAGTTTCTGTACTCAGATACTATCAGCCTATAAACAGAAACAGATGATTCCCAGCACTAATTCATTTTCTCTCTCTCTCTCTCTCTCTCTCTCTCTCTCTCTCTCTCTCTCTCTCTCTTTCCCACTTCACTCAGTGTTCTACCACTGACAATTCAGAGCTGTCTTCTGAGCCCTTCCACTTTCCTGAGACAGAGTCTCACTGAGCCTCAAGTTTGTCAACTGGATCAACAAATGGGCCAGGAAGCACAAGAGACCTTGGTATCCACCCTCTAGTGCTCAGATTACAAACGGACACTCTGTACCCAGTGGCATTGCTGTCTTGTTTTATTTTGTTTTGAGACAGAGTTTCTCATTGTAGCCTCCTTAGCTCTGTAGACCAGGGTGGCCTCGAACTCACAGAGATCCGTCTACCTCTGCCTCCCAAGTGCTGGAATTAAAGGTGTGCACCACTGCCCAACTATATTGTTGTCTTTTACAATAAATCAGCTGTAGTTGTTTGATTCCATACACTATACATAAAATAGTATTACCATGGCTTTTACATAAGTAACATATGTATTTACTTATTTGTGTGTGTGCTGTTCTGTGTACACAAGCTTGCACAAGCATGCTTACATGGTACAGCTCACAGTGAAGGTCAGAAGACACTTTGAGCGAGTCAGAATTCTCCACTCATCAAGTGAAGTCCTAGAATCAAACACCGGTTGGTAGGCTTCTTAGCAAGTACGTTTACCTACTGAGTCATCTTGGCCCACAAATTGCTACTTTGTTGGGTTTTTTTGTTGTTGTTGTTGTTGTTTTTTTTTTTTTTTTTGAGACAAGGCCTTACTGTGTACCACTGACTGGCCTGGAATTT